ATTTAGAGAGAACGCACGAGGGTAAAGACAAAACATGATAAAAGGTCTCCTTATCTCTCCTTACTTATTCACCATTCAAAAAGCTATTCTTTATTAATCTAATGTTATTTTCAATCAAGCCAAGGGGATAGTTATTCTCAATGAAAATTATTTGAAGCCGATTTACTTTTTTGTCAGTGGTCTATATCGGCTACTCTTATGCTACGAATACTCATAGATTTTAAAACTCTAACCTCTACTTTGTAGCTATAATTGGAGAAAAAGTTAAGTATAAAGCCAGCATGTGTTGGCTTTCTATAGACATCCCTGCCATTGTGACAATGAACTGAATCGGCTGTGCACTGTTTAAGGAAGGCGTCTAAAACCCACAATATACTCGTTTTAGTGGATAATACTGTCATGAATAACAGTTAATTTAGGTATCTTAGATGAATATCACTTTTTAAATAATCTATTAAGTCAATATGGAATGTTGAATAAGTTATAAATTGATTTATTTGAGCTCCTAAATTGTTTTTTTATAATCATTTGTCTTTTAAATTTTGCTACCCTTAATGCTCATGATAAATCCTTATTAAGTAAATAGAGTAAAAATGGGCTGTTTATTTTCCTTTTAAATACATCCACCGGTTTTTTAGCGCCTGTATGGATCAACAGAACTGCAAATCACCCCTCAGTTGCATTTACCCCACTAGACCTTACGAAAATCAAGCAATTGCACAGCCTGACTACTCATTTTGTGATGTCCCTCGGATACCAGATTGTATTCTTCAATCTGCTGACAATATACGGCCTTGCAATGATGATTTTCCATATGCAGAAGCCCAGGGCTGCTGCCCACGTGAAGCCAGCAGGTTTGATAGAGAAAGATCAGGCCAGTCTGAAACAGCAAATAGATCATATCCTTTGACTCTCCCATTCTCTCCGAGTGATGCTAATACACTTACAACTTGCTGTATTGCCCCACCACTTCAAGTTACACCTGGCCTACTAGGACCCAAGCCTGCTCAATTTAAGTGTTTTCATACTCCTGCTTACCACCATGCTTCTGAATGTGCCCTTGGAGACATGTACAGCTCTTCAATCGATTACAGAATGAACGAACTAGACTCGCGTACAGAGGACGATTGTCCTGATGACGTAGCTCTACTTCGATTTCTTGATCAACGGCTAGGCAGGGAGGAGGGTGGTGAGGCTGGGATGGGGTCAGCTGGCGAAGAAGATCTTCTTTCACTTGATTCTAGGAGTTTGCATCTTTCACAATCCCTACATCTACCCAATTATCCCTGCTCCTATCATGCCATGTTGGGTCAAAATGACGCAGAAATTGCTGATGGACAAATAACAACAGTTCCAATAGTGGACCAAACCCCTTGTCGCATCGCCCAAAATGATAATGCAATCTTTGTGATTGGCGAGGCGCCTGATTTGACAAGGGATCGACAATCGTTGACCTCTTCTCTCGGTAGTCGGAATTTTATTTTACCGAAAAAATTTACATTTCGTACATGTTGAGATATTGGGTTTTGAAAAATTTCTAATTAATTTTATCTTTTGTAAACTTAATTTGCGGGCATTCTTAGTCTGGGGAACTGTGAATTACCATTCAAATCATATGGCACTTCATTAGGAGCCCGAAATGTCT